TTAAACCCCAACTCAATTACAATTCAGAACAGAACTTCCTATTTTGAAGGTAACCTTATTACGACTGATTTGAACGTTGCTAGCCATAGAATAAAAATATTCTCCTGTTGCACAAAAAACTACCCTCCCACCCACACCACCGTATAGAAATTGATACATTATTTCTAGTGCCAGTGTAATAATAGTGGATCTTTAATATTGTGGTCATAGAGTTTGACTCACTTTCTATCACCATTAGAATGTTTTGACCAAAGCGTCACCTAGCATTCATTGTAAGAACTATTTTGCTTCGTAATATACGTCGACATAACATGAAAACCAATTTAAAAAACAAGCAAAAAAAAAAGACTATCTAAACTGTTCTACTTATCAAAAGCTTGACATATTATGTTGAGAAAAATAAATATATTTAAAAATTATCCTAGCGCCCCTAGTGCAACACATGTATGTTGGTAATATTCTTTGAATTTATGTGACTAATAGTTCTAATGATACGGTAGTTGTAACAGTTGATATTTCTTAACCTCAGTCTTATTCTCGTAATGACACTAAAGCACATCCTCAAATATCGATGATACAAGTTTATATTTAGAAGAAATGTCTAATTCAGAAAAGTGAAAAAATCAACAATCAATATTCCATTATGCGTTAAAGACTAAACTTCAACCGATCACGAAACATTTACTAACACTAATAAATATTTAGTCCTTATTAATTTATCTTATAACAATGCCATCATCTAACAGAACGGAAATTAAACATATCCTAGTGTCATTTTTAAGTTTTGTAAAGGTTTTCCGGTTACCAAAATGTATATTAAGAAACAAAACTTCGTCGATAATCACCTGAAACTTAAAAAAAAAAAAGTTTGCTGTTAGCTATATCTTGTCGTAGGAAACCACAGCAGGAAATTCTATCATCTAGAAGCTGAACTCAGACGTGATCTTTTTTTCAGGTCTTCTGCTTTATGGTTGTTATTCTATCTGCCCACCTTCAAGGTTCTATATTTTTTTCAAGGATTTTAGTTTGTCCTTTATTTCAAGTTGGGATCTGTTGCAAGTGTAACAGTTGGTGAAATAACTAGTCAATCTTCTTCTTACACAGAAAAATAATTCTGTTTACGAAACGTTATGTAATTCACTTTTATAGAACTCGAGAGACAATGTTGACACAGAGTCGCTATTGGTCCTTGTTACAGTTACCTAGAACTTGCACGAGTAGTATGATAATAATCATTCTACTTGAATGTTATAGAAAGAGCAGAAATCTTTTACTTTCAATATATATTCTCAAGAGTCTCGCTAATTTCGTTAGTAAATACTCTTTTCACAAGCTAAATGGAATAAGAATTGCCTTACAGAAGGATTAACCTAGCATGAATAGGAAAGTAATATATTTTACTGAACTTTATCCTATCGGTTATCTGGCTTATCTGTAGGTTTTTCGTCAAAAACCTTCTCCATTAAAATAAATAATATTTTATGCACATTTAATTATGGCATAGTGAAGTCTGTTCGTGTAAAGGTTCTCATTTATATACAGATTATATATATATATATATATATATATATTTATTAACTATCTGCATGTAATAAATAATTTC